GGTACTATACAAGAAGATATGTCAAAGAAATAATCAATCCTCCCAAGTTTCCTTCATATGCTACATCTATAGCTTTTCTTCTTCCTTCCTAATTACAACCCTTAAATAGAATTCGTGCCTCATATCGAATTTACCGAGTATCATAATTCCTCCAGGTGGTAAAGATACCTCGAGACAAGTGCTGGGCATAGAAGCCACAGGGCATAAATCTGCAAAGAAGTAAAAAGCTAACCTTTGCAAACAATATGGCTTCTCTCTCACTTACCAACTTTACATTTCCCTGTATGGCCCCGGAAGATGACTGGTTAGCCAGAGACGGGTAAGATTCCTCAAGGGAGGAACAACCTAAGACAGGCACAGTCGCAGGGGGGCCATCAGGTGAGAATTTGGGGATCAACAGAGGTGAGGCTCAGAACCTCACCCCCCCTGCTTTGAGAGAAATCTTCTGCATCCGTGGATGTCTTGCTGCCCTTGTCTAGCCTGGATTAATACTTAGTCCATAGGCACACACCTGATCATCTGATCATCTACATTTGCCTTCTTACAGCACTAAACTATGTTTTCTACCTTTATCTTGCATCTACCTACCACTTCAGCATTTTATTAAAAATAAAAATAATAATAATAATAGGAGAAATGTGGGATCAACATATAAATCAAGTACAAAAATCAAACGAATATTCATATTTGACCTGATTGTTTATAGGTCATAATGCGTGATCAAAACCGAAAGTTTCTGTGATGAATGCCCTTGTACTGTTCACCATGTAAGAATTTATTCACTATGTAAGAATTCGTTCACCATGTAAGAACTTGTTCGTTATGCTTCAGAAGATTGGAGACTGACGAGAATTAGGCTTGAGATGGATTAATGATTGTACATTGAGCATTGACCCCCCTATACTGAATTTTATTGTTGTTAACAACCATTTGATCAATAAATATGAGAGATGCCCTCTCAAAAAAAAAAACTGTGGTGTTTCAGAGAAGACAAGTAGTGATTTTACAGCATCTTACTACGCTGATGAACAGTGACTGTGAAGAGGTATGTGGGGGGGACTTGGTGAAGGGGGGAGCCTAGTAAACATAATGTTCTTCATGTAATTGTAGATTAATGATACCAAAATAAATAAAAAAAAACTGTGGTGTTTGTCATTATAATTGATCTTAGTCTCTGAGATAATAGAAGGCAAGGAGTCTAGTCTACTAATTTTTTCTTTCTTCTTTCTTAAAACATCCTCTTTCATATTCTGATCTAAGCATCCAGTAAAGTCTAGAAAAGTAAAAACTAAGATAGCAATAGATTCTAAGACCTAACAGAGCCCCTCTTTTAAAACGTCAGTCAAGATAAATAGACGGGAGAGAAAGATGGAGATCAATGAATCTAATTCCAAACCAGCATTCTTATTTATTTTAAGATCTATTCCCAACTTCTTTAGACAAAATCTAGCCTTTTAAGGGAAGTGCAGAGAACATGCCTCCGTGGGCTTGCTCTGAGGGAATGTTTTAGCAGGTGCTGCGTTCTGTCCTGGAGGTGGCTGCATGAATTTATGAACTGAGGTGACAACATTGACGGCCTCCGGAAAAAAGGATGCTGTCTCCACACAGGAAGTTTAACTATAGTGGCACTTCTTGAAAAAAGGAGGAGGAGAAGGGGAGAGAAAGAAAGGAGGAAAAAAAGAAGAGGAAGATGTGGAGGAGGAAAAAGGAGAAGCAGTAGCAACGCGGTTCCCAGCCCAGTCATTGCTCAGTTCATTATCAGATTAGAGAAAGCAAGAACCATTCTTTCCCGAAGCTCCCTTCTCTGCTCTCCTCGAATGTTTGCTGAAAAAATTTCTGAGCTAAATTATAACCCAAGAGGGCTGTTGCAGAATTAGGGAGAGCAGGTGGAGATGAGAAATAACCTATATGCAGAGGTTAAGAAATTTATGGATTTTGGGGGCATGGGGACAGGGATTTGGCATTACCTTCACCATCATCAGGAAATCTATGGAAGGAGAAGGGTACCAAGCGGCCTTCCAACACTTCTGCATTCGGCAGATGCAAATAACATTGTCTACTCCCACTCTTGGCACACAGGCGATAATCAGAGTAAAATAAGCAGCGAGGGAATAATTTAAAGTAAAAAAGAAATAACAAAAGGCCAGCCTAGGGTTCTTGTGTAGACGGGTGTTAGTGCAGGTCAGGGCCACTCAGAGCTGGGCCAATTAAGGGTCACCGTCGGTAGACGAGCCCCAAAGTTTGGGCCGGGGCCAACGGGTTAGTCTCCAGATATCCTAGGATCTGACCTGCACACACGCTTTAAGTTCCACGGGGTTTGAGTCTCGGATTCCCAGATGAGACATCGTCCTTTTTAGCGTTCTCACAACACCTAGCTCGGAGCTGACCCCTGGGCCAGTTGCCGGTAACATCTGGGTGTAAAAGCAGCTTTTGAGGTTGGGGGCGGAAGGGCACTTATTTTATTTATGTTAGGGTTGGATTGCAGATGTGGCCTGTACCAACTATTAACAAAAATTTCCCGATCACCCTCTATCTTCCACCTTCTGTCCAGGTGACGGCGGTACGCCACGCCGGAGCTGCTAGTTGCTAAGCAGTTAACCGAGTCCTTCAGGTGTCAGCCTCCATCCGTTCGGAAACCACAACCCCCAGAATCCTCCGTGCAGGGACGTCAAGCCGCAAATAAGATAGCTCCAGAAGGTTGGAACATGCGGCAAGGTGGAAACCCTAGTCCCTAGCAGTTTCTTTACAGGATGTTTAAAAACCGAATCCCCATAAATGCGCCACCCTACTAACTACCTTCGAAGCCAAAGAGGCCACCGCCGTCAGCATTTCGTTCCTCCAGTGGCATCCTGGGAGTTGTAGTCCAGCCGCGGGGCTGCGCCGAACTACCTTTCCCATTGTGCCATGCAGGTCGGGCGATATCAACGTTCTTTTCCAAAACTCTCTCCGCACGGAGACCCCCTTTCCCTAGTCCTCCTCTGTGTGACCACTCCTTCCTGTCAGTCGCGAGCGAGACGGGGCCTCGGAGGACCCGGGACCCGCGCCGCCCCAAGAGACACTTCCGGCGGCGGTTCACTTCCTGGTTGGGTGGATGGAGCTGGGCGGGAGCGCGCGCGGGGGAGGGGCGGCGGGTCAGTCTCCGCCTGGCGCTCCGGGGATCAGCTGGCTGGCGGGCGCCGAGCGCGGCCCCGGCTCTAGCTGCAGCGCCGCCTCCTCTCCGCATCGCAGGCCGGGCCGGCGGCCGTGACAATGTTGCGGGGCTGGTAGCTGGTAACTGGGTGCCGGCCGCCGAGCCGACTCAAGTGGGTGCCGCCGGGATGCTGCCTCGCAGGGCTGCGGGGAGACCAGGGCGGAGGAGGAGGCAGTGCTCGGCTGGGTTAGCGCAGCCCTAGCGGCCCGAATGCCTCCTTTTTCCGAGCCCTGTGCATAGGGATCCCGGTTTCTGGGGCCAGGGATTCGTTTTCAACGCTAGGGTTTTTCTTGCTAAGAAAATGCATGAAGCGTTTCCCCAGGATGAAGGCTTTTGCTACCCCAAGGACTCAGCAGTTGAATTTTTAAGTGTGTTACTGATTCATCCTCTCTTCCTCTGTCATCACAGGTTGAAACTTACACGAATCGCTCTCGAGGAGGAGGGGACCGCCGTGCGATTGACACGCATATTCCTATAGGCATCCTGCCTCAGCCCCCACCCCCACGGCCGGATTCGGGTGGCTCCTCCGAGCTGAAATCTGAGAAGAAATCCTCGAATCTCTTGTTTTCTTTAAAAAAAAAAAAAAAAAAAAGAGAAAA